AGAGAGAGAGAGAGAGTGTGTGAGTGTGTGTGTGTGTGAGTGTGTGAGTGTATGTGTGTATGTGTGTGTGTGTAGGAGTGGGGAGATTCAATAGTCAAAAGACACTGGCTGTGGAATATTTTGCAAGTCATTCAGCATCTGTGAACTTTGGAGTCCTCATTTGTAAATGGATTTAATAAGAATACCCACCTTTGCCCAACTGGTGAGCATCGGCCTATGAACCAGAAGATCACAGGTTCGATTCCCTGACAGGACACGTGCCAGGGTCCTGGGCTTGATCCCCAATCGGGGGCGTGCAAAGACACTGGCTGTGGAATATTTTGCAAGTCATTCAGCATCTGTGAACTTTGGAGTCCTCATTTGTAAATGGATTTAATAAGAATACCCACCTTTGCCCAACTGGTGAGCATCGGCCTATGAACCAGAAGATCACAGGTTCGATTCCCTGACAGGACACGTGCCAGGGTCCTGGGCTTGATCCCCAATCGGGGGCGTGCAGGAGGCAGTCAATAGATGATTTTTTCTCATCATTGATGTTTCTCTCTCTCTCTCTCCTTCTCCCTTCCTCTCTGAAATCAATAAAAACATATTTTTTTAAAAAAAAAAACAACCACCTTCCATTCTTCAAGGAGATATGTGAGTGTCAGAAGAATCATGTTTACAAAGTAAGGCTTGCAACCTCCTGCAAGTAACAGAAGGGGCGTTTGTTGGGACTTCGTGAGTTGGAGGGAGGACTCGTGTTTATTTATTAAATGGGGCAGCAGCTGCTCAGCTCCAACCAAACATTATGGAGTTAAAACGTGGGCCCAACGTTGTCTGATCTTCTGATTCTTTCTTAAAAGAAGTCGAATGTTTAGGTGAAACCTCCTAACTTTCAAACACGGACAAATAACCTAGAATTTAAGAAACTACTGTCTTGGCAATACCATCCTGGCCAAACAAAGCATGTCTGTAGGCTGGACTGGGCCCTGGTGCTGTGAATCTGTGGCCTATTGGACAGAGTTTAATACACATGTGAGCTATCGTCAAACCTTAGGCTGGAGAGAGAGAGGGCCGCGGGGCGGAATTTACCTGGGCGTCCAGGTGAGTTCCCGGGAGACAAAAGGCTGTCTCTGCCTTAACCCACATCTCTGCGAGCGAAGCGCACCTCCTTGGCCAGGTGTGTGGTCCTTGGCTGAGCAGTCAGGTTGCTTGCCACTGCCCACCCTCCCCCAGCTCTGCACCTGAGTGTCGCTTTGCCATCTTTCACTTTGGAGCTGTGTAAACATAGGTTTGAAATCCAGCTTTGCCAGCTCTGGTTTGTCTTGGGCAAGTTTTTCTTCTTGTGTATTTTTTGTTTGTTTGTTTTTTATTTATTTTAAAAATATATATATCCCACTGGGGATGCGCCCGCAACCAAGGCACATGCCCTGACCGGAATCGAACCCGGGACCCTTCAGTCTGCAGGCCGACGCTCTAGCCACTGAGCCAAACTGGTCAGGGCTGTTTGTTTGTTTTTTAATCTCTAAACCTAGTTTCTTGTTTGTAAAACAAGCGTACTACCATCCGGGAAGATGAAGTAAGAATGCCGGAAGTCACCTTGCCCGGTGCTGCGCACATAGTAATCGCTCTCCAAGCTGGGTCCCCTTAAGGGAAGCCCTGAGGTCAGCAAGCGAGGTCCACTGTTGTTTTAAAAATTGTCCCTGATCCCTGCCAAGGCCAGACACCTCTTGGGGTCTGTTCCCGCAGCTCGCCACTAGGGGGCAGCGTGCAATAGCAAATCCCAGCTCT